AACAATCTATAAGAATTGATTATATTATATTCCGTATCCGGGCCATTACCTACCCACATTAGTTATTATTTTTAAATTTAGTAGGTATTAACATTAACACTATTTTAAATAATGATAAACGCAAAACGTATATAGCGTTTTAGTTCTAAATAACAATGTACTATTTTACTAGAGCATGGTTTTGAGCTAGTAAAATATAATAAAAGTTAAACGAAAACAAATAGGCACCCATCGGGCTGTTTTTAAAATAGGACAGGGGAAAATGCCCAACTTGCCTCCCTAAGTAGCTACTGCAAGTTTCATAATAATTATTTGTTGCTGCACATAGTGTGTGCTGCACACAATTTTAGTCCCTGGCAATGTGTCGTGTAGGTGCTCGTGTGACTATTTTACTAAGGTTAGGTTGTAGGTCTACTTGTACTATTTACATAGTTGAGTTTTAAAAATCTATACTGCTAGACAATTTACAATTTACATACAATAGTTACTATAGTATATAACTATTAGGTATACACATATTATGCGTAAACCCACAATAACACAAACACAATAATACAATACCTATGAAACCTATGTGATATGTATGTATTTATTATATTATATATGTATATTTGATTATTTTCAATCCAAATATTAAGTAGATTATTATTATATAGCATAGTAAAATATATGGCTTAAAATTAGGCTAAATATTTTGAAAATGCTATGGTGTAAATATACTAAATATTCTATATGAAAATGATAATTTAAGTAACAATGGAATGTTTCAAGTTTCTATTATTAATGTGTTTTGTATAGGTACCCACCTAATAAAAGAATACTTTAATCGTTATTATTGTACGTTTGAATATCCAGTGTCGTAAAAAATTGATCTTCAATCGTTCATCAATAATGTATCCTTAGGAAGAATTTTGTTCAATATATTTTAGGGTGAGGTGTATAAAAAAAAACAAAAAATTTTATGCGATGGCCGGGAATCGAACCCGGATCAACTGCTTGGAAGGCAACTATGCTGACCATTACACCACCATCGCAGTTGAAGAAGGGATAACATTTAATGTTATTTCATATTTTGATTTCTAGAGGTCTTTTTTGATTTTTGATTTTGAGAATCTCAGTAATGAATGTGTTGAATTTCAATGAGAAGAGTTTTTTAGATTCTGAGTGAAACGATGAATGTATTGATTTTACAATGATGTGTGTTTTTTTTCAATTTTTTAATTTGTTTTTTGTGTCTGTCACACGTCTTAGGACAGTAAATCGATTTTGGTTTTTTGTATAACTCTAAAACAAATGACCGTAGATACTTGAAAATTTCACTGAATGTTTATATTAGCATTTCCTATACACCATATAATTTTGAAAATATTTTGATTCTTTTTGAGCTGTTTACGGATATTTTCAGTTTTAAATTTTTTTAATTTTTTTTTCTATAAATATCAATAACATTTTATTTGTTGGGTAGAAAAGCTTTAAAATTTATTGCAAAGCTCCTAATATATTGTTACAATAGCACTTGAAAAATATTAAAAATACATGGGCACAATTTTTTTTATAAGCATTTTAAGTTCAAATTTTGACAAAATTTATCACATTTAAAATTTAATAATAATTTTGTAGTTAAAAATATATAAAGTCTTCAACTTTTATAGCTAATGATTGAAAATTTAAAACAAGATTCTACGTAAATAGTTTTTATATAAATTACTTTATTCACCTTAGTATCATCAAATATACTTCGTAATATCATAGGCAGACTAACAGTTTTCGCTCAGAATCGTTTTTCTTATACAATGATATTATATCATTGAATTCAAATTATTACTATAATTATATATACTAATTATAATACTTATATACTATGTATATACTAAATATACTACCATAATATACTGTTTATGATAAAATATAGGTACTTAGGGAGACAGCCGACAGCCGACAGGTAGTATTTTATAGGCTGGCAGACTGTGCTCAGAAACATTTTTCGTATGGAATCGTGTACTTATCATTGAATTCAAATTTAACACATCCATTACAGCGGAGAGAGGTATAGGTACCTACACTTGACACCTGTATACATCAAAACAGTTATACATACTTGTCGATTTTTTTATAATAATCTTAGGTAATAATTACCTATTGCTTGAATCTTATTACATTTTTTAGTAAATTTAGTAATTGTTATTTTTTTTTAAAAAAGGCCTTTTGTGCTTTTTTACATTTTAAATGATTTTTTGTTATTAATTATTTGCCTTCAATTCTGAATCCTATTAATTAGATACATATAATTCTACAAATTATATAATATACAAGCGTATTGGCCGTTAGGTATACCTAACTGTATAAGGGTACAACGTATGTATATATAATAATTATATATAATGAAATATGAATTTATAGCGATTAAGTTCCTTCGCGAGGAAACTATATTTCGACGATATGCCTTTAATCCTGTGTAGGAAAACTACTAAGTACTAAACCTACAACGTTGTTAAACGTTAAATAGGTAAGCGTATATGGTATATAGGTATTTTATCAACCTTATGGCTTTTATAATTTATGAACGTGCAGCAATTCTTAAACGTTTCTTCGTGTTTAGACGATTATGAATAGGTAGGTATCATATATTCATCTCGATGTACGCATTCGTTTTACGAATGTTTTCACGGTTGAAATTACACAGCGCGTTACTGCCGAGTAATACTCAACCTACATACGTAATCGTGTTGGGAAAACGTGAGAATCGTGAAATCCAGAACATTTGAATCTCATAAAGTCATAACATGGCCTTAGATAGATAATAGATAATTTAACTACGCTCCTAAGTAACCTAATGTACCGATAAATATGTAGTAAAATATATTGTTTAGGTACTGAATTAAAAACAATTATAATGGGTAATGAAATGCGCGACTTTCAATTAGGGAGGCTACAATCCGTAAACCGTAGATTTATGTTCACGATAAAAGTGAACTGTACTATTCATATTAAACAAAATAGCTATATATGTATATAATAAATTAAAATAATATTTTTACCCATAATCATCATGCATGATCAAAAAAGACGAAGTTAATTAAAAAAAAAAAAAAAAATAATGTGGTACCCGTTTACGACAAACATTTTTTACGAATTAAAACTCGACATTTGGCAGTCATTCAATTTTGACATTTCTTCAACAATAAACTTTTCATGGATACATTTGACATAGAATCTATTTTTCAATTAATAATAATACATTTCGGCAAGCAGAATAAATTGTTGAATAAGTCTTTAGTCGATCGATTGGTAAAAACGATTTGTTGTTCGCTATGAAGTAGAACTAGTAGAAGTAAATACCGTCCCCATTTTTTTTATATAATTATTGAACCTAATTTATTCGTATATATATATAGAAAAAAATTCGAATTGCAGTGTATCACGTGTGATATGATAAGTAATTTTTTTGGAAACCAATTCCGTATTTTCCATAATATTATCCTATAACCCTCAGGGGTCGGGGTCTTATACTTATCGGATGAAATAATGAGTAACAAAGAAGTTCCTATTTTGCCTTCTGAGAAAAAAATGTAAAAAGGAAAATTTGACAGAGTTCATAAATTACTATGTTAAGGGTACAAAGCGAACCAACACATGTAGATAAGTGTGTGCACGTCAAGCCGTAGGATTAACGCATGCGTCCGCGTCGGAGTTCGTCATCCCCAAAAACAAGACGTCGGTTTACGAGCACCGTCACCGCGGCGTCCGCAGCATCTGATGACTGAGATCGAGGTATCGCGGGTGCTCTCACACGCGCACGCGCGCGCGGTGGCATGCGGCGGCGCACTCCCCCACCGACGCCGCCGCCGCCGGAGAAGCAGCCGCCGCGCCGGCGGACACAACCGGTTTTATTTTTAGCAGTCTGTCCGCACTCCGCCGACGCCGCCGCATCGACAGCGTACTCGCAGCATCAGCACACGCAGGCCACCAGTACCAGCATCAGTACCAGCGCCAGTACACGATATTGCGCGTCGCCGCGGTCGAATTGATTCGCGTAATCGGGACGCCGCGCGCGCAATCCGTCGTTGGACATGCGTTGTTGACGACGACGACGACGAACGACCGCGATCTTCCCGTGCACCTGCAGGTAAGTGCCGCTTAGATCGATATCGCTGTGATCCGTATTATTATTTACTCTCGCCGAGAGATCATATCGCTATACATACGAATATTGTTGAATTCCTTTAGAGGATATTGCCATAATAATAATAATAATAATATACAGTCACACTGCACACACCGGTCGGTCGTAAAAAAATAATTTAATATTCCATAAGCGTCGCTGTTAAATTGAGACGATGACATAATATATTATTTTAAGCAGAACTGCAAATGTTGAGGTATTTTTAAATACCATTTAAAATCGTCTAGTCCGCTATGGGAAAGTCGATTAGGTACCATCATATACACATAACATATTATTATAATTCTATGTAGTACGAACAGAACAATATGTTTAGAGTATAAGGGGGGCTTACTCTGTCTTTCTTATTATATGGCGGGTGATACGCGAAAACAATAATAATATTCTGTTATTAAAAAAAAAAAATGTTGACAGATTTTCATGTAGGTACTTACATTATACTCGACAATCATAATATTATAATAATAATAATAATAATAAGTCGTACAGTCTGAATACCATACGAACAACAGGGCCCGCGTGTGTGAATGGCCATCGACCGATGCACACGTGTGCCAGTCATGCCCGGCACATGTGGCTCACACATTTCACATAATATTTTCTCGGTCCCTCGTCTGAACTATTTGGGTATCTACGAGATCGACTTGTGTGCGTGTGCATGTGCATGTGCAGCGTGTGTGTGTGCGTTTGTGTGCGCGCGCCGCACGTATGTGTATGTGCGTATGGGATTGTAAGTGATTGTGTGTGTGTGTTTCAGATGACTTGCCAACTGCGGTGCGTGTAAGTCGTTAAAGAGAGAAAAAAAATAAGAGAAAAAATGCTGATCGAAGCGACGAAGACGTCGTGCACCGTCATCCCGGCACTGCTGTTGCTCTTCTCGTCGGGTAAGACACCACAATAACAGTATTACAATATTTTTAAAATTATTATCAATAACTATCATCGTCGTCGTCGTCGGCTATACCCGTATATTATTAAATATTATAAAATTATGAGAGACGGTCGCTCATATTTCCCGTTTCTCTGCGACTTCGATATACCGGATATAAAGTAATGCATTTATCATGCTGCTTACTGGCTTACTCTGATCCGTGTACATATCAGAATAATCATTACAAGACGAAAGTATGATATCGAGTATTGCGGTATTCGCGCGGGGACACGTTTGATCGTTAGCGATTGTTATGAATATGTTCATACAGAACACTTCTATAGACATAATATAATCGCGTTTTTTTTAATACCATATATACACCGATAGAGTATAACAATAATACGAGGTGTCAATTTCTATTCGAGTACGAACAATTTATCCAATCGTATGTATTTTTATACATGCCACTAGGTACCGTTTGCAGAAATCCCTTTTTGAGCGGTCACTGCAACGCACCTATCATAGTATCGTACATATTAATATACATAAGATATTCGCGTTAGTTGATACCTATACAGTTATACAAACGATGCTTACAATTTTAAGAGTTATTATAATTTTAAAATCTAATACCTACCTAGTCAAATGCACGGTATAACGTATTACAACCCAATAAAATAGTTTAATACCAGGCCTTGTATAATAATACTATGTTCAAATTGTTTATCCCTTAGTACGTGAGAAAACGTTTACGCCCATCGATTTGTTTTCAATTCTTCTGAAAATTCCTTAAACAAAATACAATTTAACAGGGCTTGCATTTGAAAAAAATTCCGTTTTATGTTATTTAGAATTAAAAGAATTAAAACGTTTCACAATTTTTGAGATTATCGTTATTTAGAATTAAAACGTTATACAAGTTTTTCGTTTATCGTTATTTAAAATAGTGTTAATACCTATTAAATTAAAAAATAATAACTAATACGGGTAGGTAATGGCCCTGATATGGAATATATTATAATAAATTCTTCGATTGTTTGCATGAAATAAATATTTCTACGAAACCACCAATAGACCTTTTTAAATAAATAGATTTTAAAATATTTTGTTGCGTTATTTTTCTTTTAATGATATTCTATAAATTACGTTTTTATTTTAATTTTAATGATATTCAATAAATTACGTTTTGTTTTATGTTATATATAGAATATTTTGTTAATCTTTCTGTTTTGTTTTGAGGTATTTTATTATTTTTGATTATCGCTTTCCGTTATAATTACGTTTACAAATTTCAATCGTTTTTTTGTCAAATAAAACGTTATTATAACGTTTGCAAGCTCTGCAATTTATATTTAAAAGATGCAGGTACATTTTATTAATAAACAATACATAATATTTTGAACAAGACGTATACAACATAATTATTTGAAATCATAAATATTTTACCAATCAGAGTACATAATATTATTATGCATGGATATCAAATACCTACTGATAAAGGATTATCTGCACATTGACTTTTGCTTGCAATTTAGAACTGTTTATTAATGATTCTACATAATAAGTAGTTATAGGTATAACTTGTATGATCTATTTTTGCTGATTTTATCTACCTAATACATATTATTAATAACTAACGTCAGCTATATTAAACCATTTATAAATGTTATTTTTCTTATTCATCATAAAATATAATATTTGTTTGTCAGTCTTATAAAATCAAACGAAATTTATCCTTTTCAGACCTTATTTTGCTATTTTATACATATTTTTTCCATCATTAAAATAGGATTTCAATGTTTTAATATGTACCTAATGATACGATTTTTCACTGTTTTTTTATTTTACTTAAATTAATATCGTGTTTATTACAAGATATACCAATAAAAATATTTTAACCTCACTGTATGTTACTGATTGTAATAACCACCATTCATCAGAAAACCTCGACCGGAACTTTATCTCATTATGTAACAAAATATAAATTAAACGGTATTTTACCATTTATACCTTTTTTCTATAGACAACCATAAAAAAATATTTATACATCTATGACGGTTGAATAACTTGATATTATATTAATTGTATTAATAATATAATAATGTAGTATAAATTAGTAATTTTTATACGATTAAATATTCAACTGTTTTATATAGTCATACTTATAGATGGTGAACTATACTAAACTATATTATCTATCATTCACACGACAAACGATATTGATAATACATGGTTACATATATATATATACACATAATATATGAATATGGATATTAAATAGATCTATTTCCTCTCAACGAATACTGTGTGGATGTATTATCTGAGTATTTAAATTTTTTAATGTTATCACGAAGTTTCCGGTCGGCGTAAAACATTAACAACAATAGGTTATTACATGCGTATTTAACACATAGTGGTATATCTCATTCATTATATTTCTCTCGTCTCTCTCTCTCTCTATTTCACACACACACCCAAAAGATTTATCTGAATAAAAAAATTTTTTTAATGAACTACAAACAAAATACCGACCATCCGCTAGTGTTGATATACAGTGTTATAGTACTTTTAACGATACTATTATGTGTGATCGGATTACTATTACTGTATTATATGACATGTTTTTACGATCTATTTTTATGGCCTTATTGGTGCCTAAATCGAATGTTTGAATTAAAACTTAAAACGATGATAATATGATACATTTTAAGGAAATGATAACTACGAAGGATACTAAAACACTATTAATTATTCAATCAGTAAAATAAATATAAAATTATACTATATTATTTTATATATTTTTTTTATTACAGTGTTCTAAGTACTTAAATACAGAATATTATCAATATAATATCCACTAAAATATGACTTAATATTTTGTTAATCAGATTTACTTAACTATTTTTGAGATGTTAAAAAATAAAAGACCTACCTACATCGATTATAAGTGATAATAAAGTTTTATATAATATTTTATTAATGCCGGTCTGCAAATATGTCATAAATTCATATATACATATCTAATTTACAAATACTCTTGACTTCCTTGCCTATTATATATTATACATAAATGTTCCAGCCAGTTAATCAATAATTTAATAGGTATTTTAAATCTTAATCTCATTAAAGAATTTGAAAATTTTGTAGATTGGATTTTTATAGTACCATGTACCTACCTACATTACTTTTTTACTTTCAAATTTAATTTGATTCTACGTAGGTATTTGAATCTTTTAGAGTTTTTATTTTCAGTTATTAGTTCTTATTATTGTAATATCAGTTCAATACACATTCCTCCATTAAAATTAAAACGGTTTTCTAGCGCCTGTCGTATGATCCTGAAACGAAAATTTCAAAAAGAAATTTAATTTTAAACTACTTACTATAGCTCAAAGCATTAAAAACCATTTTTCATTACACAAACTTTTTTTGGAATAAATTTAATTGAATCTCGAACCTTCTATTAAATAATATGAAAATAACGAGTTACTTAATAAAAATTAATTTTATTAAATAATTTCGTTTAAACTGTTATGATTGAAATATAATGAAATGGGATTATTATCGTGTTACCTGTAATCACTACCTTCTCTTGAGTGGCCTAGGGCTCGGAAGTTTTTGTATTTGCATGTCTTTTTTGGTCTATATTAGATTAATTCATAAGTAGTTTGAAATTATATTCACGACACTACGAAAAAAAATTATAAAATTTAGGTGTGCATATTTTTGCATATTTAATTATTTGTAGTTTTAAGTGCATATTTTTAAAGCTTATTTGTACGTTTTTAAGCGTTTAAGCGCATGCATATTTAGTAATTTTTAAGTGCATTAAGTTCCGAGCCCTACGAGTCATGACACATGTAGCGATTTTTTTTAACTAAGTTAATCTACTAGATAAAAAAAATCAACCATATAAGGAATGTGAACGTGAAAGTGAGCATAGATAGGTTATTTACTTTTGTGTCTTTTCTCATTTTATTTTTGTATAATATTATAATATTAAAACTTTTTTTAACATCCCTCCAACAGTCGTAACACATCCTGATGTACACACACGCCATGTGTATTGTATTGTACGTACATCCTATGCCTATAATATTGAATTCGGTGATAACGCATCACGGACTTCCGCGAATTGATTAGGTTTCGCCAGCCGACCACCCAGCTACATATAATATAAAACGGCATTGGACTGTGCGTGGCAGTTAGCCTGTACAATATTTTGATAACCTCAGTCGTCTTTCGATGAACCGTGATTTAGAATATTTTCCATTGATCACATAATATGGGATTTAGTAAAACTGAATTATTGAAGGTGCATACCTAATCGGATGATATAATTATAACCATTGATTACAAAATGTACTTAGGTACCTACTTATGTATTATAGTTCATATTTTGTGTAATCGATTATGTTACAATGTATAGGTGGATACGTATATTAAATTAAAACAAATTAAAATAAACCAGCAACATCGATAAATTGGTACTGAGGTACGCACCTATTACCTAATTTGCTCTATCATTAAAATTATACGATTATGTATAGTTTGGTATTTCAACCAACAATTAATATATTTTTCTGAATAAATTGACATTCATTGTTCGTTGTTTTTCTATAGTTCGGTGTTTTATACCCTAAGGGTGGTTTCGTGTCATTGACACTTCACTTCACTACCTGTCATTGTATATATATTTGAGATCGTATTCATTTCTTAAAAGTCAGCTTGACAGACTTTGTTATACGTCTAATGATTTTGGGTGGGTAACATATCGGTAGGTTAACACTGAGTGTCTGGGTAACATATCGAGTGCGTCGTAATACATATTTTAAAAACGACTATTTTTACATTTGAAACAATATCAAGCCAAATTTAATTTATTAATTAAAAACTAAAATATTGAGGCTATAGGTATACTGGGGATCCTTAAAATGTATGAATTGAATTTAGAGTAAGTACTAGTAATTTTTCACGAAAATGCATTGTTGTTAAGTAGGTCAAGACTCAAGAGTTTGTAAAGCGTTTCTAAATACTTTTATTGTTAACCAAATATTATTTTAAATAATAAATTCTACTAGCAATTTTATAAATTATGAAATAATTATTATCTATACAGATTTGTTTATTAATATAATATAATATTTGAATTTAATATTAATTTGTATTAAATATAGGTACCTTAATTTTGATTTTGATTTTTTTTATAATCATTTTATGAATCATGATTTCAAATTTCAGTTGAAAGCAAAATTATCGTTTTAATTTGTTATTTTGATGCTGAAAGAACCAAATGTAATTCCATAAAACTAGTTACCTATATGTATTATAGGATGACGGATGAACATTTCGAACAAATAATTTTTCTAAAATCAATTACCTAGTATAGTAATACAATTTATTTAAAATATTATAGGTACCTAAACCAATATTTTATAAATTCAAACTACTTTATTTATTATTATGATTATGATTTATGGATAGAATTAAAATTATGTATAAAAAGTATTGAAGTATTAGGTACTTAAATACTTTTGAATAAAGTTTAAAAGTATTTTTTACAAGCAATAAGCCTACAACGCTATTCGGTTGCCGAATTTCGTATTTTAAAAACTAAATTACTTGCCCTGAATTATAACTATTTTATTCCATTTATAAAATGTTAAAATAAATCTCACTTTTATAGAAATCAGAATAAAGAATAATTATTAAATAGTATAAAATGTTTAAAATAATTATTTCACATTTAGTTGAAACTTATATAACAACATTAAATCAAAAGAGTTTTGCACTAATTCAATTTGAGAATTTGCCCTACTTAATAGATGATGATAAAAATTATCTTTATATATTTTGATATAAGTCTAATTTGGTACAAAAGTACTGTTTTACTTTTCATACGACTTTGTAATAAAATATTGTTACCACGGAAATTCCATTAAATAGGTATTGACCTTAAAGATTTTTGAAAATTTTTCTAAATATAGGTAATAGCTAGTACTTACGTAATAACGGCCCGTTATTAACGGGACCATATGTTTTTGAATTTATTGGGTAATATTGTAATAATGAATGCTTTACTGTTATCGTACAGTGTAACAATATAAGATATTATATAATATATATAGGCTAATTTAATGACTAGAAAATATTTTATTTCATTATATATTATTTTCTAATCACTAAATTAACTTTTTGTTTGTTTTTATAAATGTTTAATGTAATATGGATATAAACATATTCTTTCAAACCCTAAAAACTTGAAATTAACTATTAACTATTAAATAATTAATTAATACATTTGTAAATGTATAAATAATTCATTTTATATGTTTATTTATGTCTGTATAGTGAAAAACTCACTAACAAAATATGTCATTTAAAATAATCAATTCGATGGTATAATAATAATATTAAAACGATTATAATATGCACGTTAGATGTTTTGTGAGTTTTAGAATTTTTTTTTCTATTAAAAAACACAATATATCGAGACCAGTTGTTGGAGTTAACTAGTCTCGTTTCGCACAAATTAGCTCAGCATAATATAGTGTAAAGTGTTGTATCTACAAATATTATTATTAAAATATGCTTCGATGAATCATCGCATTTAAAAAAATATTTGTATCCACTATACTAGTAAGTTTATATGGCTATATTATAAATTATAAAGTACTCATTTCATAAATATAGGTAGGTAGGTATCGAAGATTTTAAACATATTATACAATTTATACATAATATATATAGGTTGATTTTTTAAACATGCTTACCCCTTTAATATTAAATTTATTCAATTATGATGATTTTTAGAAATTTCTAATTGTACCCAAAGAACATATTTAAAAATGTCTAATATTGTTTATACTTACTACTTGAGGAATATTCTGTGCCGATACAAACTTCAATTTTTCAAATGAGAATTATTTAGTGGACGAATTTCTTTAAAATGTTGATGTATCTAAATCAAAATTCTAATGAATAGTTTCTGAGTTAATAAAATATTTATACTAAGTATAGTTTCTAAGTAATTAAAATGTTTATACTAAGAGCAGGATAATAATCCTTAAAAATGGTTTGCAGAAATATAAACTATATGTAATACTAGATGTAGTAATTATTATACTTTGATAACTTTTAGTTTTTACAAATTATTTATATTGTTAGTAATTACGGACATTTTCAAATCATCGAAGCCATACATCTATTTAACCCATCACCATAAAGACATATTATCCTTAGCACACAAAGTTATATAACCCAAAACTGCTCTCTCAAATTTTGATCTAGATACATCAAATAGAAAACAAATAAATAACTGCTGAATAATTTAATGTTAAAAGGGGGAGGGAGGGTTGTTTGAAAAACAGAAGATTATATTGTCACAATAGTACAGGATCATTCTTCAGTGGAACAAAAATCAAGTATTCAAAATTATGATTTTCAGAATATGTAACTATATATTTAAAAATTCCAAAAATCAAATATTGAATATATACATAATTTAAGAATACAAATCACCGAGCATGCTTAAAAAATCACCCAGTACACATATGTTACAACTTACGGGCAATATAGGGGAATACATAGGGGAAATAACTGGACCGCCTATTTTTTAGCACTGGTTTTTGAACATAATAATATATAGGTATTTGATCTATTTGTATGATGTATTTTGGCTGCACATACTCTATATTCAAAATAACGTTTTTAAAGAATATACATATCGTTCAAGATTAACTGATATCCGCCTTGAAAACATTCAGTGCATTATTAAATTGTCTTCCAAGAGTACTAAATTTTAAAAAACTGGCTAATATTATGTTATATTAAATAATTGGCTTTAAACAGTTTTAACTTTTTTTGTTTCAAAAATAAATACATTAATTATTAACTAATATAAAAATAGTTTTTCTGGCCGACAACATTTTTTTCAAATTATCTGTACTACCACATAATTTAATTGCTGATCTCTAGAATAGACTATAGATAATGACCGATTTATCGTGAGAAATATGAACTTTAAAAAAAATATTTATATATTATATTATTAATAAATAGGTATGATTTAATATTTGGTTTTTACTGAAACAACTATAGATAATATTATGCAACCTAACCAGTGGACAATATTTAAGGAGTTCTTCATTAAAGTTGTTAGACGTGTTATAATTAAATATTACGTTAAGGGGAGTGGTGAAGAAATTATCAAATTAACGTGGTTAAGACTCGGGAGTCGGGGATGTATTATGATCGATATTCATGTTTACAAAAATTAAAATATGGAACTGCTGGACGACTTTTAGACTTGGTACATCCAACATTCATGGCAGTAATGAGTAATCCATGTTCCAATTTTCCGTGTCTGCAAACTGTAAAATAGGTATTAACAAAAGTGAAAATCAAAGAAACTTATTGAATAGTTATTGACGTCAATAAAACGATAAGATAATAATAACTGGTCAAGATAATGTAATAATAAGTAATAATATATTATGATTTATGACTTATGAATTCCTTAACTAGGATTATATAGTCAAGTTTATAAAATTTTTTTAAAAACTATTTTTATTTACTTTTTGGGTTTTAATTTTCGTGTTGTTGATTGTTTTAGTTAATGTTGGAGCGTATTATTCATCGTGCGACAAAAGTTCGTGTTACCCGGCTACTGGAAATTTATTGATCGGTCGGGAAAACCACCTAGTAGCGTCTTCGACTTGTGGATTGAAACTAAGGGTTCGTAACTGTTATATTCGCCCAGATTACAAATAAATAATTTAAAAAAATGTTCATACTTAAATAAATTATATTTTAGGAAAGATATTGTATTGTAAACAATCTCGAGGATCGCAAAAAATGTTTTTGGTGCGATTCAAGACAACCGTCTCAACCAAATGCAAAGTATTCGCTAAGTCACAGGATTGATAATATTGTCCATGCGTCTGGGTAAAATATTAGGTCACTAGTGTCTTTTTTGTACGTTCGTTCTAAGAGTTGTTTTTTTTTTGTGTCTATTACGATATTTAGTGGTGTAACTTCACAATGGTGGCAATCGGAAAACGGAGTGGAAAACGTCACTATTCAATTGGACCTTGAGGCCGAGTTTCATTTCACTCATTTAATCATTACGTTTAAGACGTTTCGGCCGGCAGTGATGTTGGTCGAGAGATCTTACGATTTCGGAAACACTTGGCAGGTAAGTGAGAACTCTTAGAAAACAATATTTAAATGTATCTTATGTATCATAACACACAGATTGTTTGCTCAGATTAGTAATTAGTGTAATATCATAATACTTGACGAGTATAACATTAGTTTTTAATTTTTTTTTTTATTTTAGGTGTATAGATATTTTGCGTACGATTGCGATTCCGTTTTTCCGAACATACCAAAAGAACCACCACGCAATTTGACCGAAGTCGTTTGTGACCAGAGATATTCTTCTGTACCTCCTTCTGCGAGTGGTGAAGTACGTTACCTATCATGTTTTTTATAAGTATTTGTTCTTTATCTTAGCGTTATAACTTAGAATTATTAGATGGGAGCTTATTAAGAAGATTGATCGGGAAAAATAATTATTAAATAGTTATTAATTATTTTAAGTTATTTAAGCCTATAAATTGGTATTTTAAGGTAGGTAGGTAGGTAGTTAATACTTAATACATGCGTATTTATTTAAGACAAGATCTAATGTATTTATAACAGGGCTTGCATTTGAAAAAAAAATCCGTTTTATGTTATTTACAATTAAAACGTTACAACATTTTTACGTTTATGATTATTTAGAATTAAAACATTATTCAACTTCTGCGTTTATCTTTATTTAGAACTAAAACGTTATACAAGTTTCGAGTTTGTCGTTATTTAAAATAGAGTTAATGTTAATACTTATTCAATTTAAAAATAATAACTAATTCGGGTAGGTAACGGCCCGGATACGGAATATAATATAATCAATTCTTAGATCGTTTGCATGAAATAAATGTTTCTACGAAACTAATAGACGTTTTAAATAAATCAATTTTAAAATATTTCGTTTTGCGTTATTTTTCGTTCAATGATATTCTATAAATTACGTTTTGCTTTATGTTTTGTTTAATGATGTATAGAATATTTTGTTAATCGTTATGTTTTTTTTTGCGGTACTTAATTATTTTTGATTATCGGTTTCCGTTAAAATTATGTTTACAAATTTGAATCGTTTTTTTTGTCAAATATAACGTTATAATAATAACATTCTTATAAAGTTTACAAGTCCTGAATTTTATAACGTTTATTGATTTAAAAGTGGAATAGAAGTTTCTAATTAGTTTATTTTCGACTTAAGACTTAAAAATCTAATGATGAAGTTTATCTGCTGAAACATTCAGCCAAGGAATAAACGAGTTAAAAAATCAAAGTTAAAGTTAAATTACTTGTAACCAAGATAAAAATAACGAGTTACATTTTTTTCCATTTTATTAATTAACGTATGAGTTAATTAATTTTATTGTTGCGATAATAAGTTCATTTTATTCCTAAGCCACAGATTCACAATATATTAATGTTTTTTTTAATCAATTTTATAAAAAAAAATAATAACCTGAAATACTAAGTACTATATAATTAATTGATAAATAATAATTTATAATAAAAATTATTATATTGAATATTCACTGAATATATTATATATATTTTTTTAGCATAAACAAAAATGTTATAGGAGTAACCGCATTATTAATAAAAGAAAAATTATAACTATATTTACTTTCAGTAGATATCCCATAAACATTTGTGTACTCATTACTGCAAGGCTCGGAACTTTAGGTATTTGCATTTTTGTTTAGAAAGTGCATATTGAAATTCTGATACGATATACTCGTAAATTCGATCCATAATAATACGTACATTTCAAATACATATATTTTTGTTGCATAATTTTCCATATTTCGTTATTTTTTGTACAAATTAGATTTATGACATTCAATTAATTCCAAATAAATCAATTTATTCATCAACGGCTATTTTTGTAATGCTCCCTTGTAGTGCTATTAAGCTATCGAATGTGGCGCTAATATAAGGATTCAAAATATTTCTGTTATGGCACATTATAGAGAAATTTTATTGGCACACATAAATATTTTAATTTTACTCTTTAACACGTTATCGGATCAAATTTTCGATGTGACGTTACTAAACACGAGGTTTTTTGTTTACATAGGTGATTTTGAGAGTGTTGCCTCCCAATCTACATCACATGTATGACGATCCATATTCACCGGAGGTACAAAACCTGTTGAAGATGACCAACTTGAGGATTAATTTCACCAAACTTCACACGCTCGGGGACGATTTGTTGGACAACCGAGATGAGATTTTGGTAAGTAGATAATGTAATTTATAGCTATAAATATTATAATAATATGTAGGGGTCGCACCACGGTGTATGTATAATAAGATATGATGTCGATAATCCACATTATGATTTGCGTTTACAGGAAAAATACTACTACGCGATCACAGAGATGGTAGTGCGAGGTAGTTGTTCGTGTTACGGGCACGCTTCCAGGTGCTTGCCACAAGACGGCACGACCAGCAAACCGGACATGGTGTACGGCCAGTGCGAGTGCACCCACAACACCAAGGGCCTCAACTGCGAGTCTTGCGAGGACTTTTTCAACGACTTCCCGTGGAAACCGGCAATCGGCCGACAGACGAACGCATGCAGACGTAAGCGGCTGGCCTCGCTCGCAGTCTTGGCGACAAAAAAAAAATTGAATCTTAAAATGTTCTATTCTCGACGGTATTGATTTTTTTTTTTTTTAGGTTGCAACTGTAACAATCACGCGACCAGCTGTCACCACGATGCTGCCGTGTTCGAGTTGACCGGAAGGATAAGTGGCGGAGTGTGCGATGGATGTACCGACAACACCATGGGCCGGAACTGCGAACAGTGCAAGCAATACTTCTACCAAGACCCAACGAAACCGTTCACCGACCACGATGTCTGCTTACGTGAGTTATCTATTGTAGGGATTAAAATACGGTGCTTAGAAAGTTCTGGAAACTGAACTTGTTCACATTATTTGTTCAAAGAAACACGTCCACGTTTATTAAATTGTTTATTAAAAAAATGAATTACTTTGTACCGATAGTTTTATTATTAATTATTTCTTTAAAAATATGAAACACGTTCACGTTTACACTTTATTTATAAGAAATGAATGACGTTCACTAAATATGAATGTAAAAGCAATGAACGTATTTACGTATTGACGATCGTCTTGACGAGCGAGTTCTTTCCAAACACTGTTAAAATATTATATGATTGTAGACGGTTTTAAGCTTTAACGTATACGCTAATTTTGAAAACAATTTCGTATGACGAGTTCCTATACATTTTGATGAGGAAAATCTGCGTTTCTGAAATGGTTTTTTTTTCATAAAATATTATACAATTTTATTGAACAGTAGTGTTTTACTATAAATATTTTGAAAATAAATCAACACCATAACAATATTGTATTACTTGCGCAGCGTGTGATTGTGATCCTGGTGGTTCTTTGGACGACGGAATATGTGATTCCAAGACTGATATGATCAACGGATTGGAGTCTGGTCGATGTCACTGCAAACCCAATGTCGAAGGTAGACGGTGTGACATGTGCAAAAACGGATTTTGGAATTTCAGCGAGTCAAACCCAGACGGATGTCAAGGTATGTAGAACAGACGAGTTGGAAGTTATTATTTTTAATTTCGAATTGCTATTAAATAATATGCGTCCTCCTGCCTTATTGGCGATTGAAAGCTCATCAATTACCTGACTGGCGGAGGGGGGGTGAATCTGTAACGGGGAATTGGTAAAATGACATATAAATGATACACAGCGTCCCCGTTACATCTTATCACTTTCAATCGCCAATAATTCCCTAGGTACTTCAAAGACCATCGTTTAATCCTGTTCTGGAAAAACGTAGGTAATAACACTATGTACAGATAGGCACTGCAGGTGGCGGGTGCATACAACATTGAAATCTAATAATATGTACCTTTACTCGAGGATGTTTATCTCGATTTTTCTTAAATCATATTTATATACTTGCCTATTTACAAATATTCACCTCCCCAGATCTTACAAATGTATGTGACATTCATACATGCGAGGCATATAGTGGCGGGGCAGCTTATCCCACATATCAATTATTGTAAGCTCGTGTAAGGTGATCTCTTCTATAATAATAATTAATAATTGAATATTTCTAAGATTTCTCAGTTTTTTTAATAATTTATTATCATTGTTATAACATAATATAGGTACCTACAACTTTTATGATGATTTTTTTACATTTCAGTAATCTTTTTACTTTTATGGTAGTTCGACCACTGTGGCAATGGAACTAATATTAAAACATAGGTAGTTAATTAATGGTCCTGGTCTTGGTCCAATTATAATATCAGTCAATACATTGTAATTTGTAGCTTCCCAAATGGTCTGATAAAATCCACTGGGCGCTGACCACTATCATAGACACCATAGTTCAGATACAAATTACCTATTTAAATTTTAAATATCAGTGTCAAAAATAAAAATAAAATCCAGTGGATAATTTTTGTTTTAGCTTTAGACCAGTTTAGATAAGAATTAAAAATCATTTTTAAAAATGATAATGTAATTTATGATAAGATGTAATAATTATTGTTTGTGGATAAAGCGGTTCTGACTTCTGGTGATAAGCTAAAGTGCCTCACAAAATTAATCATAATATATTTTGTTTCGCTGTTATTATTGTTTATACTGTCCGACGCCTATAAATTAGTTTTAAATATGAATAGGTATGTATCTGCATTCGTAAACTAACTCGGGGGATGGGAGCGGACTAAGGCGTCGGTTGAGACACGCACCGTCGCCGGTTCGAATCTCGGCCACTGGCGGCAATTTTCGCACCCGGGCATGGTAGATGCCTACGGGTGCCACCTTGAAAATTCTGTTAAACTAAAACACACGTGCTTACAAACATACTGTACCCTCCCCCACAGTTGAAATTCACCCAATGTCCTAAGTGGCCGTGGGTAAATTAATGAAAAAATAAAATAACTAACTCTTATTATTGTTATAGTGTGCACGTGCAATACTCAAGGAACCGTGGACAATCAGGGTTGCAACAAGGAGACGGGAGAATGTACTTGCAAGAGGTACGTGGCAGGCAGAGATTGCAATCAATGCATTCCTGGCTTCTGGGGTTTGTCTGACAGTCAAGATGGCTGTAAGCCGTGCGAATGCGACGTCGGTGGAGCGTACAACAACATGTGTGATGTCCTCACGGGACAGTGCTTGTAAGTAGTGATTTACGTTCCGGTCATAGAAATTAAAAATAAATAAAATACAATTTGAGTTTTTACAGTTAATATTAATATAATCTCTTATGTTTTGATGCGTATGACGTACCGATTTCGTGAATTCATACATCGGTCGTTTTTATAATTTGTATTTTATGTATGTCAATTAGGTGTCGACCCAATTTATCAGGACGCACGTGTAGTGTACCGGAGCAAAACTTCTACGTCGGTCCTGTTGACACTTTAGTCAGCGAAGCTGAGTTATCCAATTGCGGGCAAGACGTATGTATTTCACGCTTGTATTATTTTTTCACTTCGGTACATAAATATACAAAAACGGTTGTCATTTTCAGAATTGTCAAGTATTTATTCGAGAGCCCTACAGAGATGGCCGGGATAATACATGGACTGGTACAGGGTTTATGAAAGTGTTTGATGATGCTGAGTTAATTTTTGATTTGAAGAATATACCAGCTACATCAAATTATGAAATCGTCCTCAGATATGAACCACAAGTGAGTACCTATTGTTCTACAATTTGTATCGGCTATACTTGAAGTGAACCAATAATGGTGTTATCTATATACAACTCAGCTGTATAATATAGATTGGATGTATTTTATTAATGGTATACTTCCATTTTAATATTCAGTATACATCATACATAAATAGTTGTAACATTGATTTTTGTATGAATTAAATAAGTATATTATTATTTAAATGTTTTATAATCTACAGATTCCTTATGATTGGGACGATGTCAGAATTACATTGGAAAGAATGAAACCCATTGAACCTAACAGTACCTGTGCAGAATATGAAGTGAATTACAATGCTGGAGATATTAGAAGCATTTTATTACCACAAGGTAAAGTAGTATCTTATTATCTTAAAATAAACATTTGCAGCAATCCAATACGTATTGAGTACCTACTACCTACTAATATAATATTATATATAATGAACGTGTGTTTTCAGATTCTAGGTATGCTATAGCTACGCCACCAGTATGTTTAGAAGCAAAGAAAGAGTATAAAGTGAAAATTAATTTCCAAAGATACAACAACAGAACAATTAACCCATCCGCATCAATACTAGTCGACTCGGTAAGCACTTAAGAAAAAAATGTATTATACATATGTCATAACATCTCCAATAGAGTTTTTTTTGTATAAAATATGTTTGGCCTAGTATAATAAGATGTTTGCATTGACTATTTAACTAAGGGTTTCATTTATTATGCATGAATCATACAGTGTCGTTCAAATGTTACTTACATTAGGTATCAAAATGGCAGTTTTCCAAATGCAAAAATTAATGTAATAATTAAGAAATAAACGTTCTTAAGTACTTATTATAATATGTACCTACCTATAATTAATTGAATAAACAATGAATGAATTAAAAAAAAATAATGAATCAATAAAACTAAAGTCTTCAATATAAAACCAAATTGGTCAGCCTCTGTCTCAACTATGAATACATATTAATATATACCTATCTACTATATTTTCAGATTTTTTTACCAAGATAGAAACTTTAAAGATTTAATTTTTATGATTATAGCTCGTATTAATACCACATGTGGAAAATATGCCATTTTTCCATGGATCACCAGCTAATGAACAACGACTTGAAGAATATAGACGTTTTAAGTGCAAGGAAGCATTCTACACTATCCGTAGAGATCATTTACTTGATTCTGATGTTTGTCAAAAATATCATTATAGTGTTGGTTTTTATTATTTGGATGGAGCATTTTGTAAGTGGAATAATAACTAACCAAAATCTATAAATCATATATTGTTGTTTGACATTTGATTAAAATTTGATACTGTGTTTAGCATGTGAATGTGATCCTACGGGCTCAACTAGTGCCATTTGTGATTCATTGGGTGGAAAATGTACTTGCAAACCAAATGTAGATGGAAGGAAATGTAATCGTTGTGCTCCTGGCACTTATGGATTCGGCCCAGAAGGGTGCAAAGGTGAATATTGTTGTTGAATTTAAATTTCAGATTAAAGCTATGTGAAATTCAACCAATAGCTTATAATATATTGTTTGTGTTAAATTATTGTTAACTAGGTATTTGATTTGCTTATTTATTTTATATAGCATGTGACTGTAACAGTGTTGGAGCTCTGGACAATTTGTGTGATGTTTCAACTGGACAATGTAAGTGTAGAACACAAACTTATGGAAGAGAGTGTGATCAATGTGAACCGGGCTCATGGAATTATCCAAATTGTCAGAGGTGCATGTGTCATGGACACACTGACGGATGTGACTCTCGCACCGGAGTATGTCTTAACTGTCAAGGTTTTACTGAAGGAAATAATTGTGATAGGTATGTATTATAAACAATTTGTATTAGTTATTTGCATGCCGTATTATTATTTGAAAATGTTTAGGTGTATTGAAGGTTATTACGGTGACCCACGTTTGGGAATAGACATTCCGTGTCGACCATGCCCATGTCCAGGAACAGTTGAATCTGGGCATTCCTATGCTCATCGATGTGCTTTAGATTCAAAAACACAAGATGTCTTCTGTGAATGTCAAATTGGGTACAAAGGTAAATTTCGGCTCTCAATGTTTTATTTCGTTGTTTGACAATTTGTTGTTTTTCATAGGTTCTAGATGTAATATGTGTGATGAAAACTACTACGGAAATCCGGAAGTTCCTGGGGGCATGTGCCATCAGTGTACTTGTAATAATAATGTGGACATAACCAAGACAGGTAACTGTGATCCTCACAGTGGAAAATGTATGCAATGCTTATTCAACACAGAAGGAGACAATTGTGAAGTGTGTAGAACCGGTTTCTATGGTGATGCCATCCAACAGATGTGCACAGGTACAGTTAATAGAGATATTTACACTTACTAATAATATTGGAAGACAAAAAGGATTTATAATCATGCCAAACTGTGATTTTTAAAATTTAATATACAGAATGTACTTGTGACTTTTTGGGATCACAGTCTAGAGTGTGTAATTCTACCACTGGACAATGCCCTTGTTTACCTAATGTCATTGGGTTGTCTTGTGATGAGTGTAAACCTAATCATTGGAAAATTGCTAGTGGGAATGGATGTGAACCTTGCGATTGTGATCCAGTTGGATCTGTTTCCGAACAATGTAACCAGGTATAATAAATTATATACAATTATGCTTACCTTTTTTTTTGTAAAAATTATTAAATTTTAGTTCGACGGGCAATGTAAATGTAAACCCGGTTTTGGAGGAACTCAATGTAATCAATGTCAAACAAATTATTGGGGTGATCCAAACAATGAATGTTATGGTGAGTATTTTTATAAATATATATTAGTACAATATATTTTATGATAATGAAATGTTCATTTGAAATATTTTAGCTTGTGAATGTAATCCTGAAGGATCAGCTACACAACAGTGTAATCAAACTACTGGACACTGTAATTGTATGTTAGGAATAGGTGGTGAAAAATGTGATTCTTGTGCGAGAGGATATTTAGGTAAAGCTCCTAATTGCAGTCCGTGTGGAGAATGTTTTGAAAACTGGGATCAAACACAAAAAGAGCTTAGTGGTAAAATATAATTTATTAAGTAAAAATCTTAAAGATATAAGATTCAATAATTGACTTACCTACTTCTTACATTAGAGCAAACAGAGAAGGTATTTAAATCAGCATCGGAAATAAAAGCTACCGGAACTACAGGTGCTTATAATAACCAATTTGAAACTATGGAAAAGAAAATATCTGAGATAAGAAATATATTGCAAACAACTACAAAAAGTTCAACAGATCTTCAAACATTAAATGAGGTTATTGATCAACTCAGGTATTTATCATACACAAATACACTTATAACACTTTATACCTACTTTTAATTTATTTTGTTTTATTATTGAATACAGGGTTAATCTAACTACTATGGATCAACTAAATGTTGTTACAAAAACAATTGATAATACTATGCAAAGAGTTATTTTGGCTAATTTAACATTAGGAAACCTTAAAGCAAAAGCAGTCAACTTAAAAGAAACTGCACTAAGCTTAAAAAATAATTCCACACAACTTCAAGAACGAAACGTTGAAGGTAAAAATAACATAATATTTAAGAGCTCATATAGTTTAATACATTTTCTTATGTTAATAATCAAATCCATATTCTAATTAAATACCTATCTACTAAGATATTATATTTAAAATAAATGTATTTTTAAGGTGCCTTAAACTTAACCAAGGAAGCATATGAAAAAGCAAAAACATTAAAAATTGAAGAGAATATACAAGATAAATTATTATCTGATGCTGAACAACAGTGTAAAAGAACTGAAATGTTCTTTGGTCGAAATGTAAATTCTTTTAATCAAGGTATTAAAGATAATGAACTTACATTGGAAAAATTAAACGAGGAGATGAACAAATTGAATCAAGAAATCCCTAAATTAAACCAACAGGTATGATGCAATGCTATAAATTATTTTAAACCAACATCGATATAATTATATATATGATATTATTATTATTATTTAATATATGTCTAATGATGTATTTTTTTTTAAATAGATTTGCGATAAAGGTGGTGAAACTTGTGATAAGCTCTGTGGTGGTGCGGGTTGTGGTTTTTGTGGTGGTTTATCATGTGAAGCCGGTGCTACAACTAAAGCAGAACGTGCTTACAGCTTTGCTAAAGAAGCACAAAAACATATACGTGATAAAGAAGCCAAAGGCGAAGAGTTGTATAGAGGTGTAAGTGAACAAAATGTTATTATTAATTTATATTGAACATTAAAACAATTTTATTGAATACAGTTATCACAAGCAAATCAAGAATTAAATTTGGCGTTGGCTAATGCTAAAAACATCTCGGAGTTGTCAAAGACGGCCAAAATACAATCTCAGAGCATCCTAAATGAAAGTTACAATTTAATTGACAGGCATGATAAATTTTTGAATCCTTCAGGAGTCAAATCTACTGATGTTGCAATGAAAGTTGATGAAGTAATATATCATTTTTAATTATATAATGACTAAAAGTGTAAAATATGATTTATATATTTATTATAGGTTCTGAAATTAAATATTAACTTAAAACCCGAACAACTACGTCAACTTTCAGAAGACATAAATAAAACGTTATCCCTACCAAAAAATATTGATACAATTATCAGTGAAACTGCTGGTGATTTGTTATTAGCTAAAACATTAAATGAAGATGCTGAAAAGAAACAGTAATTAACGTTTTCAAAGATATTATTTTTTTATTGCATGTTTAATATAATTACTAATATAATATTATGTTTAATTTAGGATGGCTGCCAAAAACATACTTCAGGTTGCCGAACGCGTTGAAACAGCTTTAGCTGAAGCACAAAGTATACAAAAGAATGTCGATGATGGCATTTTAACAACAAACCAAAATATTTTAGATGCAAATAATAGCATAACAGATGTTAGTAACCTACTTCCATAGTTATATAGTCATCATTAATATTCTGAAAATGTTGTCTTGTGATATTTATACAAATTTTGTGTATTATTTAGGTTAAGACAGAAACAGATGTTACCCAAGAAAATGTTCAGAAAGTCTTAGATGATATCAATGTTATAGAAAGTAAATTGAAAACGCTACAGACTGGATTCTTAAAAAATGTCAGAGACGCCAATGAGGTCAAGTCAGAAGCTAGCACTTTGATACAAGAAGTAGAGGATACTGAAAAGAAAGCATCGCAACTATTAGCTTCTTATCGTGAGGCTAGTAACAAGTTAGATACCCGTGCACAAATCGCAAAGACCACAAAATATAATTCACAGAATTTATTAGAAAAAGCTAGTCAACTGTCAGCGAACACTACTTTAAAATTGAGAGAACTAGGAGGTAAGGAAATTTAGTTATGAATAAACTAACAAAAATAAGGTGTTATACTCTTTTAAAAACAAGTCAGGGACGTCATTGATTATGAGTACAATTTATGATCAATGGTAACGTTAGTAAAATTGTATTGAAAATAATAACTATTTTGAAGTTTTAATTAGGTATTAAACTTGATCTTTCACAGTCAATTATACAATAATATGAATTGTTTTTCAATTATTTTTCTATAATAGAAATAAATATGTTTTTCTAATATTAGATATCTCAAGTTTTTTCAAAATCTTATTACCTATAATTATTATTATAATTACTTATTATTATTGTTATTTTTGTTTTAAGCACCCAATTGACATGTATTACTTTCTTAAACTAATAACTTATAGCTTATTAGTTATTACTTATTAGTTTAAAATTGGGAATAAGTAATATGCAGGTATTAAATCATCTGTTATGAGGGTAAAAAATCTTCTGTCTTGCACACGTAAAATAAAGTAAAAATATATCCCCCTATTTCAATTATTGCGATTACATTATTGAAATTAAGGTATTATAACCTACTATTTATTTATTTATCAGACAATTTTGACAGCAGGAATAACAATAAGTAATTTTAAATAATACAATAAAAGCAAAAGTTTTGATTCATAACAATACACTGACAAAAACATAAATAAATAACAGAAAATACACAGAATAATAGGCGTTGCAGTGTTGGTGGCCATGAACTACCTTATGCATAGATGGTCACCTCATTTGCCAGCTGCATGTACCGGTCGATAGAACGATTGAGATCATAATTGGGTACATTAAGAGGACTACAAACAGAGCATAAATGGATATAGATATAAATAGAAAGTTCAGTGGGTGCATCAATATATTTCTCTGGTGAAAGTTTAAATTGGCATCAACTCTGCTAAAGTTTCAAAGCGTAATGCATGTATACAGGGCCATGTTTTTTTGATATTGAGTATGTGGCTTTTGAAAGAGCGGAATTGCCTTTGTATGCGCTCAAGAAATATTTTAATATGAATTATTTGGTCAGTTTGTTTTAATGATTTAAGACTTAAGTATAAAATATGAAATAATTGTTCAATACAACAAACATTTTTAATGTATTTTTATGTTTTATTTTAAGTGTCCCTTTAACCATATAAATTTTATAAAATCGCATAATATGTACTTTCAAACAAAATAATATTTTAAATTTGATAAAAATGTATATTATGTCCATCAACATAACATATTATAGTTCATATTAAAAAAGATTAAAAATTATTTTTGTTTTCTATTTGCAAATTTCTATTTTTTTAGATGCAGAACAAATAATTATTAATCAAGAGGAGTCTATTTCAAAGCTTGTTAAGGATGTAGATGACTTGTATATTATGATGTCAGCAAATTTAGATCAAATCAGTTCACAGTCTGATCACTATCGGACTTGCAACAATTAGTAAAAATGATTGCAGTAATACTTTATTTCAATTGTTGAGTGTCATATATTTATTTTAATAGTTTTCATTTTTTAAATTGTGTTTATTTATTTTACTTATATTTTATGTTCTTTGCACGCTGTATTATATTTAATAATATTATGATATTTATAACATAATTGTGTTCATTACATTTAAATATAGACTACTTAGTTTCTGACTGAGAAAATAATATTTTATATACAAAAATGTATTTACTGTAACTGAGTATGATGTAAATGTTTGATTGTACCTAATTTTAAAATTGTAATTGTAATTGTTTATAATTATTATATTAACATGAATACATTTTATGAGTTAAGTCTTAATAAGAAATTATGTAATCAACACAATATTTTTTTCTGAATTTATCATTAATAATAATTATAAGTTATTTATCTATATTAACTATCTATGATAATCCAACAATTTAAATATTAAAATTTAGTTTTCTGTATAAATTCAAGTATCTACACTAGTACACTATTTTAGACTTCAGTTTGTGTATAATACATTATTTCATACTTGTCTAATTGGTTTATCATTACACAGTATAATATGTATCAACTCTAAATTGGTACAGCAAAATAGACGCCCAAGTGCACACCACATGAGGCAAAATTATGTTTAAAATTCTACATAGGTAGGTATAGTGTGCAAAGCGAATGCACAATCAGTTTATAATTTCTTTGAGATTAGTGTTGACAAAAGTCAAGCGATATAATATTTGTAAAGAGTAAATTACTGTAAATTAATACTGTTTGCAGATGGTCCAACAAATCACAGTTGAACGGTACATAATTGAAATTTATTCGCATATTATTTTGAAATTTTTAATAAGCCCGGGTTGTAGCAATATTAGGTACCGTATAACTGGGTGAATAGAAACACTTTTGAACTTTGAAGTATCAATGTATCATCCAAACTTTTCTATTTGTGCTTTATTGATGATCAATACATCAAAATACTGGTCTTTTCGAGTACTTTAACCTGTGTTCAGTCAAAATATTTGTATATCAGAGGCGGCTTGATCATGCATTTTGTGGTTCACTGAACCACCAAAAAGTTTAGGGTGGGTGTCATTTTTATACTAGGTAGCAGTATTGTTTAAGTTACTTTTAAAAATTAATTAAGTTACTCTACTCGTTACTAAGAGATAAATGTAATTAAGTTATTTTACTCCATACTCAAATAAAATTGTAATGAAATTACTTTACTTATCAAATAGAAAAGTAACTTATTACTTTCTCTTTACAAAAAAAAAATTTTTTTTTAATTTCTTGGCAAATATCTTCTGCAGGTAAATTGAACAAGCAAATTCTTTATAAAACCTGTATAATAATTAATAGGATCGTATAAAACTTAGTCTTCCATACAAGCTATTCATAGGAAACCTATTTAAAGGAATCAATTTAAATAATAAATTTAATTAATTGTTCTCTAGAGACTAGATTTAGGTGCAATTAGACATTTCAAATGTCTTCAAAACCATTGAAAACTAAATTGTGGCGAGTTAAAATTAAATATATATAATATATACGTATAAGATTGGTAAACATAATAATACCCACATTATATATGTATAGGTATATTTATTTTTTTTCAATTCGCAATGGGTAGGAAGCTCGAAACTGTGACACGTTATTCTATAGAAATTATTTTTCAAAAGTAATTTCCATTACATTTTCGTTACTTGGAAATAATTCTAATTATTATAATATATATCGTTACAAGCAAAGTAACGCCGTTACATTAACGAGTTACTTTCGTTACGTTACTACCTACCCAACACTGCTAGGTAGGTATACTTGGTCTTGATTCTCAGTGTCCGGTATAACCGTATAGGTAATATAAGAATGGTTACCTAATTTTATGGCCAATTCATTATTAGCAACAAATAGATACATTAACAATCAACTTATGAAGTTATAAACAGCTTTATGACGAAAATATAGTCACATAAAGACATAAAGTATGAGAAAATGTGACAGTGTTATTCGAAAATCGCAATCAATTGTATTATAATAATATCGTTATTACTGAACAACTCTCTAATGTGAGATTTGTATAAATGTATTATGTAGTCACGTATACTGAATTCTACAACGGATGAGTCAAAGCTCGATCAATTTGCTTTTGTGTATATTAAGTGTATTGCAGAAGAATTTAAAGTAGTCTGTTACAATATTAATTAATTAATTAGGTATACACAGTTTACACATTATTATTATAGTACATAATATTGAAAAAAAATGAAAACAAAATAATATAATTTATAATGTTAACTTTTGAATATTACCTAGATCCTAGAAAAATGAACGTATTTATACAATAATATTTATGATTTGTTATTATGCACATTATGTTCATTGTTCAAACACTTGGATTTTATAAGAAGTATTTATATAATGAAAATATTGTACTATTTCTATGACACAATTTATTTTATAAAATATCAGTGTTGTATTAGAAGCCCGACCGGAAAATCGGGCAATGAAAAAAATTAATTTTCTAGACTCCTTTGAGTGCTCCCCTCCACGGAAATCTTTAGTAAAAGGCGAAAGATCTTTTCGATTTGAAAGGGAACCGGAGTTGTCGATGGGTCGGTGTACGGTTCGCTTTATACAATCGGCGCGGTCACGACGCCGTGCAGCCAGGCTGGTGTTCACACAACACCGCTTTCCCGGTTACCAAGTCGTGATGAGGTCTGTGAGTGTGCAGTAAGCGTGCGGTGAAAACTTTTGACTTCGGTGCGTCTGGGAGGAAAACTTATGGTCAAAATGCTAACGAAATGCCCGGCTATCCGCGTCCTAACCGCGGTCAACCGACGAGTATGCTCGCCAACGCCATCTATTGACTGTTTTTCGAAACACCAGATCTTGAACGAATGTCTGATCTATATCCGGCGGGATAGCCGAACCATTGTTATAAGTTAAAACATAAAAATCATGACGAAATAATCAAATTGGTCCTTTGTTTATTGTTCTGTCACGATCGGAACGCGTTCAAACAATATATCTAGTTGTTCCATGGATAATAAGTGTTTGTTTTTGGTCCCGTAAAATAATTCTCATTTCGACTAATTTTCGAAACAATCAGCGTATATTATTACTATTGTATCATCATATATCTCTCTTTAGCTTATGTACCACACGGCACACCGTTCTTTGTATTCCACACGAAAACAATAAATTATTATACGAAAACTACATACATAGTCCGTAGAATCGAATTATTCCGGAATTTCAAGATCGACGAGCTACAATTTTATTTACTGGCAACCTCCGGCCTTTACACGGTTCGACTTAATCGTGTTTAACCACAAAAAAATTTACGCCCGCAGTTTGCCAGTTAATCCTGGTGGTGAATATTTTAATCAACTCGTAGTCCACAAGGTATTATTAAATTTTTACATGACGAAGGATGGACTATACAGACGAGCGTCTCATGTCATTTTGGCATCCGGTGATCGCGCATCACGGTTAATAAATATAATACGTTTAAGAGGACGTCGCATGTGTTGTCTCCGTCTTACACACGTCACACATACGACATAGCAAATGTTCGTTGGCTAGTTTCAATAGGGTATTGTCAGTTTTTGTATTAGGGTCAATCGAACTATTATCAAACTTTTAGATAAGAACATAATCTGTGTTCTCTCGTTGGTTTTATACGATATTTTAATTTTTAAGTGAGTTATGGGTATGTGAAGTATTCATACTCTAGTGAGTTATGGGTATGTGAAGTATTCATACTCTAAAATGTTCATAACTCACTTAAAAATTAAAATATCGTAAAAAACCAACGAGAGAACACAGATACTGTTGGTACCTAAAAGTTTGATAATAGGTCGATTGACTCTAATATCAAAACGGTTCCGGTTCTGGTCCCTGGTTTAAACTTTAAAGTTTCATAGCGAAAGCCAATGGGTAGTTTGATTCCGGCTGTAGCTCATGAGCGCAAAATATGACAAAACGCAACACAAAAGCGCAAAAATAAATAACCCATAAGCGCAAAACAGAGTTACCTTTTTAATAACTCATAAGCGCAAATCAATTTTATTAAAAAAAAAAGTGTATTTTATTAAAATCGTAGTTATTATTAATATTTAATTTAGCATTTACAGTGATATTGAAATTAGTTCAAAAATCAAAATATCAGTAAAAATCAAAAAATTAGTAATAAAAAGGTGCTCTGCTGTACAGTAGGTTACAAGTGGGTCACTGTATAATGGATGGTATTAAATTTGAATTCAATGATATAATATCATTGTATAAGAAAAACGATTCTAAGCGGAGATGGTATATCAGTCTAGGTATAAGATATATTATATACAATCTATGGTATTTAAAAAAAAATGACCTATAATAAATTCCAAATTAATCATATCACAATATCCATTAGGTACTTATAACTTACATCAACAACAAACCCTGATACTATCATAGATATATAATAGTGTACTTTAGAAGTTTCAAGTACCCACGAATAATATTATACAATCACAACAAAATAACTAAAATAGATATTCTAGGTTTTTTATTATGTAATTTCGTCCAAATTTGAACTTAAAATGACTATAAAAATAAACTATGATTCTGTATTTTTTAGATTTTTTGGTAACAGAATTGACTACTTATGTGGAATCTTGTTTTAAATTTTCAATTCTTAGATATAAAAGTCGAACATTTTATAAATTTTTAACAACAAAATAATTATTAAATATTAAATTTGATAAATGTTGTCAAAATTCGATCTTTAAATGCTTATAAAAAAAAATTGTGCCTATGTATTTTAAATATTTTTCAACTGATAATGTAACAATATATCAGGAGCCTTGTATTACATTTTTACACTTTTTGGCCCAACAGATAAAACTTTATTGATATTCATAGAAACAAAAAACTAAAAAAATTGAAAACTGAAAATGTCCGTAAACATCTCAAAAAGAGTCAAAACATTTTCAAAATTGTAGGGTGTGT